AGCAATGCAGCAAAAAACAGATTCGAAACCCCCGCTTCACTGCTGCTCACGCGCCGCTCCTGCTCGACGCTCACGCGCAGCTCCCGGTGTGAATGCACTCATTGCTTAACATGCACGCCGAAAAGAATACGCGCCGCTCACGCATGCGGTGTGAAACGGCCGTTAGATACACGCCATCGTGTAGGCTACACATAAATCTCTGACCCATCGGCCATCGTCGTCTCCCTCGTCTAATTTCTGTCGCTCTACATACGTCATCTGGTATAATCGAAACGATTGGCTATGAGCTACGTACAGGCGCATTTGATAGACATTCTTAGCACCCAATAAACGGCTCTGGGCATTCGTAAACCACGCCTCAAATACGAGAAAATGAACATGTGGTTCCCAGACCCAATTCTCAACGAGATTGGGTCTGGCGTTAGCCAGGCTATGTACTCCCCTTATGGACCGGGTCAAATTGACCCTAATTGGATTCAATACAATTCCTCAAAAATCACACTATGAAAAACAACAAAGATTTAGATACAAACTGTAAACTTTTAATATCAACATTTGTCAAACATTACAAAAACATTATATCTGAAAATATGATTTATTTTATTTTTTAAAACAGTTTTGTTTGGACAAAATTGGAAAATAAACAGTATACTGATTTTTTTTTGCATTTATTGTTTTTTCCTTTTTTTTTTTTTTTTTTACATTTTATGCTTTGAACATCGTAACTGAACAAAAAAAAAAAAAATAGCTGTATAATGAAAATTTTTCATTTTCCTAAGTTAACTTTCCCTAGTTTCCTAAGACCTATTTTCCTAGTTTCATTATTCACTCACTGGGAAGTGAGAAACCAAACATAACAAAAACATACATCAAATAAATGTTTATTTATTTATTTTTTGGCTCTGTGAAGCTGCCTTTGAAAATCCTACATAAAAGTTTTGGTTAAAAGCTAGGTATTTTAGATATTTTGAATATTGAAATGAGAGCTTATTTTACTATCTGTGTCTGACAAAGATTTTCATCTGTAATTTGCAAATAATTCTAAACACTGTGATTTTATCTTTTTCAAGTGTGTTTGGTTAGGGTTAGAGCACTTGTAGATGCACTTGCACGTTAGAACTGGAGTTGAAGTGCCCTGACATACAGAAAATAAATGTTTTTATTTTGTGTCTGTACAGTTGCTTTTGAATGGCTGTCTATGAGGGTCAAATTGACCCGCGAACATCACAAACGTAACAGTAATTTTGTTTGTATATGTCAAAACACATCAGCATGTTGAAACTTTGCATGCATGTTCATCATGATAAATGAGAAAAAGTCACAAAATATCAAGAAAAAAAACAAAGGTTAACCAGTATTTCCAACAACTTGAAAATCGAAACGGGTCAAATTGACCCGCAACATAACACAAGGGTTAAGGAATGTGTGTGTGTGTGTGTGTGTGTGTGTTAGGTCTGGAGAGGAAAAAAAAAAATCTCCAAACTATCACGATTTTTTTTGTTTACGATCTGAATGTATCGTTCTGAATCCAGAACCGATATTGATTCGAATGAAATGGCTTTATTTTCTTCCTCGCTTATAGCCGAGGTTGACAGAAGTTAGCCACTCTTGCTCCAACAGAGGCTGAAGCGTGTCGTTATCTATGAGTGTCGTAATATCCCTGTCTAGTGGACGTGTGGAAGCGGCGTGAGACTGAATCAGTGTTAAACTCAGAGCCTTTGTCACTATTATAGCGACTTTTCAGACCCCTTTAGTGATTTTTGTTTTAAAAAGCGACTAGCGACAAATCTAGCGTCTCTCTGGTCAAACCTCAGTGACCCCCAAATGCTGTCAGTGGTGCGAGCGCGAGCTCTTGCTCTCTCCCTGCCGTCTCTCTCTCTCGCTCTAACATATGTGGAAACAAACAAGTCTTATCTGGCTAGAACATGACATAAGCCTATAACACGCTCTCACATGTTTATTTTTTAGCATTTTTGGGAGGAGTAAAATGTACATATGTGGATTCAACAACCAGATGCATTTACACTTGTCCAGTTTGGTCTGGAACGGTCTCAGACCTCCTCCTGAAGTGGTTTGAGCGATCGGATCCGTCTGGAATGTGTTTCGCAGGGCATTTACACCTGGTCTCTTCACGATCGGATAGCTATCCCATCACAGAAAACGCTTGAAGTGGCCAGGTGTGAACAGCCCCTTAGGGAAGGCGTTAGCTACTTTCCTCTGAACATAGTTGTCAACACTGGACTGAGTCACTGAAAGCCCTCGCGCTGCTCATATACTGAGAGAGAGACGAGACATTTATCCCAATTATTTGTATACAGTCTAATAATGATAATATAATCTAGTAATACTGATTCATATATTAACAACAGCTTATATATGTAGTAGTTTATACTGTATGGTAATGATAGTATCAGTATTAGAGGAAATACGGTAAAGGGGTGTGGGCACTCTCGCCCGGAAACTGATCTGTATCAGTGTTGTACCAGAAGTAAACGGCACTCAACTTGGCTCCGTCTCTGCGTGTGTTATTGTTCCTCCACAAATATTACAATATACTCTTATACTATTCATTAATTATAAACTAATAGTTTGCAAATTATTTATAAGCGCTGAGTTACTGTATACTTGTGATAAAGTGTCACCATTATTTCAAACTGGTCGCATTAAGTGTAATTGTTCCTTTTGTATGTGATGGAGTGATTCTTCTTTCTCAAAAATAACACAAAATAAACAAAGTAAAGATGAATTTGACTGATAGCATTATTATTATTTTTAACCCCGGATGGGGCTTACGCCACACATATATTGTACACACTATCTACTAGGGGTGTGACGAGACGCTTATCTCACGAGAACGAGACGAGACGAGATTTTTGCACAATTTTTCAGAAATCCTCAATGACAAAATTCATGACTGGAAAAATAGTATGCAGGTGCATTTTTCAATGTTTTAACTAATAATCTTCTAATGCATGTCATTTCAGGTCTACTTTATGAGTATGAATTATCAAAAGCATTGAAAGAAAACAATATACAAGCACTGTAAAGGGTTTTTATTGACTGGCTTTTCTCCTGTATGATTTCACATTAGTCTCTTCAGACCTTACTGTACATTTAAGAGCTTTCAGAACTTCTGATTGAGGCTGTGTGTGACCTCCTAACTGAACTCCTTTTAACACACATTTAACAGAGAAATAAAAACAGTATAAATAACAAAAATAAATAACAGTTTTCTCTTAGTCTTATTAAGTGCAAACAATAAGTGCAAGTGCAACCATAATCAAAGTTAGCACACAGACTCTTTATAATTGTTGTGAAATTGCGGTTTTATTTTGCACCAGCAGTTATAGGTATAGGTAGAGAGAAACGAGGCTGGTGTGTTTGTCTCTACAGTTGTTCTTGCGTTCCCATTATAAGTTCAGAAACGGAGCCTCAATTGTCTGGTGTCCTTTATACGTTACAGTACTCTCTCAATATTCACGGTGCAAACTGAGACCATAGCCGCAAATAAACAGTCCAGAGATGGGTATTGGGAGACAGACTATTGTATGTATATGCAGCCTAATTTGTGCGCAATGCACATCAGGGAGCTTGTGTTTTACCCTTCACTTTCAAATTCGTGACCGCGCGTACTCTGTGTATAGACGAATCCGGCGAAACTACCGGAAGTAAGCGGGCGCCATAACTGAGCTGTTGCTGGGTAGCGTTGCGCCATTGCCTCCTATTGTTTTAGTTGCAACTTGCGTCCACTGGAATAAACAGCCCGCGATTTACGACTGTCACTAACGTTACAACTTTTATAATGTCGAGTGGGAAAACATGTTCCGGTTTAAATTGTTTCAATGGCGGCAGTAAAGGGCGCATTGGGGCAGTGACGTTAGTAACATTACTGTTATGTCTGTTGTTAATGTTTGATTTGCTTGACTGTGACAGAATTTTTTTAAATAACAAATTAAACTAACAAATTAAATTAAATATAATGCAGTTTTTGTTATAATAACAATTATTTAATGACATAAGTAAAAAATATAATAAATATGTAATATAGTGCTCAGCAAAATCTCCTCTCTAGCTATTTTTTCTATTCAATTAACATGCTATGGTCATTAAATGGCTTTCCTGAGCTAAATGTAACGTTATGTGACATAATTGTTCTTCTGCTGTTATATTGACCTCTTTCCATGGTTTAAAAACACTAATTGGTCGATATTATGAATACTTTCTAGCTGTACCTTACCCTTGCCTTTTGCAATGTGAAAATTAGATAAATAATGGACACAAATGAAAAACATGAATTTGTTTATTTGATGTCATTCATTTATTTATTGTTGCCAAATGGACAGATCTTTTTATAGTTTCCTCGTTAGCTAACGTTAGCCTAGCTAGCTTGCCAAGCTATTTTCATAAATAATCTGTAAGATCGTTTGTACCTTCATCTGTGACTGGAGGCCACTGTCTAACATCATCAACCCAACAAGTCATTCTGCCTGGCTGTAGCTGTCATCGAGGGTGCGTTATCACGGAGGTTTGTTTACATACCGCTAACAGCTCAGTAATGGCGTCGCCACAAGATGGCAGCCTACACAGAACGCTCGTCGGATTCGTGTATAGGGAGCAGCGGTGCTGAGCGCACACTCTACAAGATTAGACATGTATCAGACGTTAGTCTATGTTGCGCAAACAAATCCTCCGCCATCGTCACGCGATCAGTGAACTGTGATTCGTGCGGCACTGATTGCAACGGCAACTCGCGCTGGATGAGCAGAGCAGACTTTTACATTAGTTTATAATGGTTTTTATTTTTTTTATAAAAACAACAAAACGATAGTTTAGGCGAATGTGAGTGTAGCGGTGGAATATTCTATGGTAATCTCACCCTCATGCTCAGTCATGGCGATATCGCGAGACAGCTTTTTCACTCGACGAGATCTCGTCACACCCCTACTATCTACATATTAATCCTTATTCACTCAGAGTCTTTATGGTAGAGATGATCTTACCACAGTGTGTCCAGTTTACAGAGAGGATTCGCCAGTAGATCAGAAAGCTGCTTTATTCCTGAGTCTCCTAGTTTATTTTCAGACAGACTCAGATGTCTCAGGTGTGAGGGGTTTGATCTCAGAGCTGAAGCCAGAGCAACACAACCTTCATCTGTGACTCCACACTCACTCAACCTGTAGAGAACAATGACACACATTAAGCCTATATCCAGAGATAAACACAACACTTAAACTATAAATAACATAATGCTGTCAATATGAAATATATACAAATACTCATTAGTTCATGTTGTTAAAATACATCAGTTATGATTAGGGGATTGAATATACAGTTTGTACAGTATAAAAATCACTTCTATGGAAAGTCCCCATAAAACATGGAAAACGTGTGTGTGTGTGTGTGTGTGTGTGCTTAATGTATTTGTAAACATTTAAAGGAATGTGTGTGTGTGTGTGTGTTAGGGCTGGGAGAAAAAAATGATTCACCAAACTATCGCAATTTTTTTGTTTACTGTTTTACGATCTTCTTCCAATTCGTCTGTCTATTAAACCTTTGACAAAATCATCGGTTGAATCATGCGTTAAAATAATGCATTTATCAATTACATTGTTTTGCCACTAGGTGGCGACAAGTGACTGTTAAAAAATGTATTTATTGAATTATTTATTCAAGAGAGTGTATTACTGTATGATGCTCCTGAAATAAAACGGAGAGATGTGATGAATTGTTTTTGTAAATATGACTCATCTTCTTCATCATGTACAGTCTGTATAAGTGTATGATTTAACTTTTCTCCATAGTCTAGTGTTAAAAACAAACCACAATACATTGCAATATCGAATCACAATATTGTAGAATCGCTATTCTTAAAAATCACAACACTTATAGTATCGGCACCCAATTATTTGTATATAGTCTAATAATAATAATAATAATACAATCTATTAGAGCCCGACCGATATGGATTTTTGGGGGCCGATGCCGATACCGATATTAGGGAGTAAAAAAAGTCTGATACCGATATATCGGCCGATATTATTTATGTGTATATTATAATACAGTAGCAATATTATTTATGTGTATTATAGTACAGTATACCAGTCAAAAGTTTGGACACTTTCCTATTGGTGTGTACAAACTTTTGATGGGTACTTTACACAGTATAAACAGAATAAATATATTTTATAAACACGTTTTGCAATGATCACTCAAATGTGGTAATCAAACACTTGTGTGACACAGATGGAGGCAGGGGGAATGATATAATGAGAATTATACAGTTGAGCTGTAACCAAACTAGTTTGCATTGCATGTTATATTATATTATATTCTAAATACTGTTGCATAATCTTCACTAACGACTTTGTCTTTTAATTTAGTCATAACTTGTATCAATAAATATATAAAAAGTGTCACTGACAAAACCTTATTATCTTCTATTTTTAGTCTTAATTCCTCTAATCTCTACCAGCGGAGGAAGAACTCAGATCTTTTTACTAAAGTAAAATGAATAATATCATAATGAAAACGTTTTTAATTACATATGTATACAGTACTTTTATACTATTTTAAATAATTAGTAAGCAAAATGTACTAAACGTGAAACTAGGCTACTCTTAATGCAAAATGGCCCTATATAAAGTGTTATAATTATATAAATTATTGGAATATTGCTTGATGTTGTAACGTAGCGTTATCAGGCAGAATGAGCTTTAACACTGTGTCTACACCGGACGCGGCCGTTACTGCTCGCGTCGCAACAGCTGTTTACCCGAGACAAAGCAGAATCAGTTTACTGTCGGAGATCGCTCGCGCCACACATTTTAATCAATGTTTCATCAACCAATTGCCTTAATAAATAAGAAGTAGGCCTAAATATAGCAGACAATATAATCAGGACTTCTCAGCTGCGCGCTTGCAATAGTCACAAGCTCACACAATACGTGACAGAGGCTTGTAGCAGAGAAATCAATTCTGTGAATTACACTGCGCAAATCACAAGTAGGCTACTACTACCCACCGGATGAAGAAGGGTTGGCTCTCAGTCTCCACAGGCTACATAAAATATTCATTTTATTTTTCGTGTTCGCATTTATGAGGAAAAAACAATGTTACAGACGCGACAGTTCAGCACTACGGATGTGAGCGCTCTGAAAGCGGCACTAAAATATGCTTTGAAACTTTCACATAGACATCAAACAGAAAGCACAAAACCTTTCGTTTCAAAGTGAATTTCGTTTTGTATTAATTGTATCTTAATTTTAATCAATGTTTCATCAACCAATTGCCTGGATTTAAGAAGTAAATATAGCAGACGATAGATAATCTCGACACGGAGGCGCCTGCGGGTGAACTGGAGCTCGTCTCATGAACCGAAACTCAGCGTATAGACCTGAGAATTGAAATATACACTCACCTAAAGGATTATTAGGAACACCTGTTCAATTTCTCATTAATGCAATTATCTAATCAACCAATCACATGGCAGTTGCTTCAATGCATTTAGGGGTGTGGTCCTGGTCAAGACAATCTCCTGAACTCCAAACTGAATGTCAGAATGGGAAAGAAAGGTGATTTAAGCAATTTTGAGCGTGACATGGTTGTTGGTGCCAGACGGGCCGGTCTGAGTATTTCACAATCTGCTCAGTTACTGGGATTTTCACGCACAACCATTTCTAGGGTTTACAAAGAATGGTGTGAAAAGGGAAAAACATCCAGTATGCGGCAGTCCTGTGGGCGAAAATGCCTTGTTGATGCTAGAGGTCAGAGGAGAATGGGCCGACTGATTCAAGCTGATAGAAGAGCAACTTTGACTGAAATAACCACTCGTTACAACCGAGGTATGCAGCAAAGCATTTGTGAAGCCACAACACGCACAACCTTGAGGCGGATGGGCTACAACAGCAGAAGACCCCACCGGGTACCACTCATCTCCACTACAAATAGGAAAAAGAGGCTACAATTTGCAAGAGCTCACCAAAAATTGGACAGTTGAAGACTGGAAAAATGTTGCCTGGTCTGATGAGTCTCGATTTCTGTTGAGACATTCAGATGGTAGAGTCAGAATTTGGCGTAAACAGAATGAGAACATGGATCCATCATGCCTTGTTACCACTGTGCAGGCTGGTGGTGGTGGTGTAATGGTGTGGGGGAGGTTTTCTTGGCACACTTTAGGCCCCTTAGTGCCAATTGGGCATCGTTTAAATGCCACGGCCTACCTGAGCATTGTTTCTGACCATGTCCATCCCTTTATGGCCACCATGTACCCATCCTCTGATAGCTACTTCCAGCAGGATAATGCACCATGTCACAAAGCTTGATTCATTTCAAATTGGTTTCTTGAACATGACAATGAGTTCACTGTACTAAAATGGCCCCCACAGTCACCAGATCTCAACCCAATAGAGCATCTTTGGGATGTGGTGGAACGGGAGCTTCGTGCCCTGGATGTGCATCCCACAAATCTCCATCAACTGCAAGATGCTATCCTATCAATATGGGCCAACATTTCTAAAGAATGCTTTCAGCACCTTGTTGAATCAATGCCACGTAGAATTAAGGCAGTTCTGAAGGCGAAAGGGGGTCAAACACAATATTAGTATGGTGTTCCTAATAATCCTTTAGGTGAGTGTATCTATATTGAAATGTCTACTTTTAAACAGAACAATTCAAAACGAAAGACAGACAGACTCATGTAATCGTATGAAATGTGCATTTCTCTCTGTCTTCACTGAAGATCGCGAGTCAGCCTCATCAACTTCATCTTTGGCTGACACTGACTGAAAACACTTGTTTATTAATAAACAATTAAAATGTCTCCTTGCTATTAGGAGTGTAAATATTAATCGATTCGTATCGATGCATCGATTATACAGCCGACGATTCAATGCATCGATGCGTCTGCAAGAGTATCGATTAATGTGTTTGTTTTGCCGCCTGTCTATTTTCAGCATCCGCTCATATGCGTACAAACGATTGTTGTTATGCGCTGGGCTAACGTTAGTTAGTCACCGAACTAAACTGCCAGTGTGAATGCACCCTCAGTCACTTAGTTGGTGAACTCCAAACTAGCAGTTACTAACGTAAACAAACAGGCGCTAACGTGTACAAAAAAAGGCTACTTCAACAGCTTACTTGAAAAGTCTAGGGTGCTTTCACACCAACTCGGAACGGAACGGTTACGGTTCGCATGAAAAATCGCTAATTATGTAAACGCTGTCTGTCATGCGGACCCGGGTGCGCACTGGGGTACCAAACCCGAGACTGCCTGGAGGAGGTACGCTGAGTTCGGTTGCACTCGAACCGTGCCGCGGCTCATGTGAATGTGAAAGCATCACGGACTCGGGTGCGCACTTGTTCAGGAAGTAAGTGACCTGCGCATGCTTTTTAGCTGATTATGATGTATTTAGTTAAATAAAACACATGTAAGGGATGATAGTGTTGATAATTTACCTTGGATAAGAGCGAGAGTGAGTCTGTATTCGCACACACATAGCGCGTGGACTCAGGGCAACAAATTAATGGAAATCCACTGTCTCCTGCGTTTGCAATCAGCAAAAAGCCAAATGCGACACACAGTAAACCGGTGTTCACTCAGCTGTGCATAATAGCACCAAATAAAATAAAAAAACACAATATATTGACCCGCGTTCTGTTTTCTATCATGCGTCGTGCACGTTTGCGATGACGTAAGATGCACGGAAACGCACCAGGATTCGATAGAATCAAGTTTTGAACTGTATGCTGTAACTGTTATATTTGCTGTTCTATTTGCAGTGCATTGAGCACAACATACACATTATGTGAATAGAATACTGTTCCTGTATTCTCAATAAAAGGCAAATTATAAAAAAAATGTGTTGATTTATTTGAAACTTAATAGATATCATGTAAAAATATCGATTATTGAATCGTATCGAATCGAATCGTATCGCGGGGAATTCTGAAGTATCGAAAATAATTGAATCGTTGGCTTAAGAAATTGGTATCGTATCGAATCGCCATGTAGGCTCCGATTTACACCCCTACTTGCTATATTTGTTGTATTCATAATCATTACTTTTGCCAGTTCTTTGTGACAGCTTTTAGGTGCTTTATTGGCAGCGCAACCCTTACATGAATCACCTCACCCGCATTTTTTAAAATATTCATTTTTCGGCCATTATAAATGCCGATACCGATAGTTTGGAAAATGCCTAATATCGGCCCGCCGATATATCGGTCGGGCTCTACAATCTAGTAATAATTAATTTAACAACAGCTTATATACTATTCGTGAACTATAAACTAATAGTCTGCAAATGATTTATAAGCGCTGTGTTACTGTATACTTGTGATAAAGTGTCACCATTATTTCAAACTGGTCGCATTAAGTGTAATTGTTCCTTTTGTATGTGATGGAGAGATTCTTCTTTCTCAGAAATAACACAAAATAAACAAAGTAAAGATGAATTTGACTGATAGCATTATTGTTATTTTTAACCCCGGATGGGGCTTACGCCACACATATATTATATACACTATCTACATATTAATCCTTATTCACTCAAGAGTCTTTATGGTAGAGATGATCTTACCACAGTGTCTCCAGTTTACAGAGAGGATTCTCCAGTAGATCAGAAAGATGCTTTATTCCTGAGTCTCCTAGTTTATTCCCAGACAGATCCAGTTCTCTCAGGTGTGAGGGGTTTGATCTCAGAGCTGAAGCCAGAGCAACACAACCTTCATCTGTGACTCCACAATCCCTCAAACTGTAGAGAACAATGACACACATTAAGCCTATATCCAGAGATAAACACAACACTTAAAATAATATATATACACATACTCATTAGTTCATGTTGTTCAAATACATCAGTTTGAATCTGTGTATCAGTCGTTCAGTTTATTTTTAATTTTTAATATTGAAAGTGTTTGTTTGGGGCGGTGTTTGTTTGTGTTTAGAGCTCCGTCGAATTGATTCATTAATCCTTGATTTTCTTCTTTACCACTCATTTATTAACAAGCACTTTCTATTTTTATATCGTGTGAACCTATCCTCGATACTATTCCCTATAAAAAAACAATCGGATTGCTTTGATATCGCTACTTAGATCCAACTTTGCGAATCTCGGCTACTAGCCTTTAGCCTGCTAGCATTTCACGCGTGGGCTCGCGCCTATTGACCGTCTGATTTTACACCCGTTTCACTGAAAGGATACAGGTTATATCCAGCATTCCAGTCCTAAATTAGTAGTGATATTGGTAGTATCACTGCTAATTTACTGTTCATCTGTTATAATGGCGAACATATCGGATGTGTGTCTAACGTTACCTCTGAGTGCAGGTGAGGATACATTCGAGCTGATGTCGGTGCGATTGGAACTGAAATCGGTGGAGAAACAGATCCGTGGTCTGCTGGAGAGGCAAGCCGAGCTGCGGGATCGGCGATCAGCGCTTGAAACGTCACGCGCCGATGCTCACAAGTCAGTGGTTAGTAACTTTTTGACTCCGACTTCCTCTACTCCGTGCGTTTCTCTGCCCAGGAGGACGCGATCATCTCTGGCTTCATTCACTCCGGCACCGACACAACACCATGGACCCTGGGTGATCCCACAGCGGAAGACACGAGCCAGGACCAGAGCAAGAACCTCTCCGCCCCTCCCGGTCTTCGAGATCTCCACCCGGAACCGCTTCTCCCCTCTTCACGAGTCGGAACGCGACGACGCCGTGATCATCGGCACTTCCATGGTCCGTCATGTCCGCGCTACCTCAGGTAAGGGTAAAGTGCGCACTCACTGCTTTCCTGGTGCTCGTGTTCTTGATGTCGCCGCACAGGTTCCCGAGATCCTGAACGGTGACGAGCGCGTCGGAGCCGTTGTCCTCCATGCGGGAACGAACGACATCAGGCTGCGGCAGACGGAGGTTCTGAAGAAGGACTACAGGAGCCTGATCGAGGCGGTACGCAACACAGCGCCTGAGGCAACGATCATCGTGTCTGGACCGCTTCCCACGTACCGACTAGGACAAGAAAGGTTCAGTAGACTATTTGCTCTAAATGAATGGTTAATGTCATGGTGTAATGAACAGAAACTGCTCTTTGTAAATAATTGGAATCTGTTCTGGGAGCGACCTAGGCTCTACCGTGCTGATGGCCTGCACCCCAGCAGAATCGGAGCGGCTGTTCTGTCGGACAACATCTCCAAGACGTTGCACACCATCTGACTAGTAAGTCAAAGTCCAATTCACAGTCTTTGCTGTCCCAACTTAATTGATATAAGTAGTGTAGAACATTATATAGAAACTGTGTCTATTCCTCGTCTAGTGAGGCCAAACAATAAATCCAGTGTAGGATCTAGGAAAAATCTTATTGTAATTAAACCAGAAAATCTAAATATCAGTGAACAAAAACAATTTCTAAAACTAGGTCTTCTAAACATTAGATCGCTCACACCTAAGGCGGTTATTGTAAATGAAATGGTCACAGATAATAGCTTCGATGTACTTTGCCTTACTGAAACCTGGCTTAAACCAAATGAGTATTTCGGTCTAAATGAGTCTACTCCACCAGGATACTGTTATAAGCATGAGCCCCGTCTGATCGGTCGTGGCGGCGGTGTTGCAACAATCTATAGAGATATTCTTAATGTTACTCAGAAAACAGGTCACAGGTTTAATTCGTTTGAAGTACTTGTGCTAAATGTTACGCTCTTAGATGTAAGAAAGAAATCCCTATTATCCCTAGCCTTGGCTACTGTATATAGACCTCCAGGGCCCTACACTGATTTCCTAAAAGAGTTTGCAGACTTTCTCTCAGATCTATTGGTCAATGTCGATAAAGCAATAATTGTTGGAGATTTTAACATACACGTAGATAACACAAATGATGCGTTAGGGACTGCGTTTACAGATTTATTAAACTCCTTTGGGGTCAAGCAAAACGTCAGTGGTCCCACTCATCGTCTAAATCATACACTAGACTTAATTATATCATATGGAACCGATCCAACCGATATAGATATTATACCGCAAAGTGACGATCTCACTGATCATCACATGGTAACTTGTATAATACGTACTGCTGAAATTTGTCATGTTGCGCCACGTTATAGACCAGGCAGAACAATCCTTCCGACCACTATAGATAGATTCTCAAATAGCTTACCTGATCTATCTCAGCTGCTCAGTGAACCCAAACAAACAGATGAACTAGACGAAATGACCAGCAGTTTGAGCACCATTTTCTCTAGTACATTAGATATTGTTGCACCAATTAGATTGAAAAAGGTTAGAGAGAAAACTAAAGCACCATGGTACAATAGTACTACACATGCTATCAAGAGAGAAACTCGTAACTTAGAGCGTAAATGGAAACAAACTAATTTAGAGGTCTTTAGAATCGCGTGGAAAGACAGTGTGTCACGTTATAAAAAGGCTCTAAAAGCAGCCAGGGCTGAGCACCTCCGCAAACTAATAGAAAATAACCAAAATAATCCAAGGTTTTTATTTAACACCGTGGCTAGACTAACAAATAAACAGACATCACCAGAGCAAAATATTCCGTTACAGTATAGTTGTAATGATTTTATGAATTACTTCAATGAGAAAATAGAAAGCATCCGAAATACAATTGTAAATGTACAATCCTCTATGGTGTCTTATGATTCAGCCTCAATTATCGTCCCTCAAGAACAACTACACCGCTTTACAACTGTAGGACAGGAAGAGCTAAATAAACTTATCATTGCATCTAAACCAACAACATGTTTATTAGATCCAATACCAACTAAACTACTGAAAGAAGTGTTACCTGTAGTGGAAGAGCCTCTTCTCAATATTATTAACTCGTCTTTATCTTTAGGTCATGTTCCAAAAATATTCAAGCTGGCAGTAATAAAACCTCTTATTAAGAAACCGCAATTAGATCAAAATAACTTAGCAAATTACAGACCCATTTCAAATCTTCCATTTATGTCTAAAATACTAGAAAAAATTGTGTCCGCTCAATTGTGTTCTTTCTTGCAAGAAAATGAGATATATGAAAAATTTCAGTCAGGATTCAGACCGCATCATAGCACAGAAACTGCGCTAGTTAAAATTACAAATGATTTACTTTTAGCTTCTGACCAAGGCTGTATCTCAATACTAGTTCTACTCGATCTTAGCGCTGCGTTCGACACTATAGATCATAAAATACTCTTGGATCGACTACAAAACTACACTGGTGTTCAGGGACAGGCATTAAGCTGGTTCAGATCGTACTTATCAGACCGTTACCATTTTGTCTGTTTAAATGGGGAAAAATCGAAGATAACGTCAGTAGACTATGGAGTGCCGCAAGGATCGGTGTTAGGCCCTCTGCTATTCTCAATATATATGCTGCCACTTGGTAATATTATAAGAAAACATGGAATTAATTTCCACTGCTATGCTGATGACACTCAATTATATATTTCATCACGACCAGATGAATACACTAACTTATCTAAATTGACAGAATGTCTTAAAGATATAAAATGCTGGATGACGTGTAATTTCCTGCTACTAAATCCAGATAAAACTGAGGTATTACTTATTGGTCCAAAAAACTACCCACAAAATCTCTTACAATACAACTTTAATTTAGAAGGTTGTCCTGTTACCTTATCGACTACAGTAAAAGACCTGGGTGTTATACTAGACCGCAACTTGTCTTTCGAAAATCATATTTCGTATGTTACAAGAACAGCCTTTTTCCACCTTAGAAACATTGCTAAATTACGTAACATGCTATCTGTTTCTGATGCAGAAAAGTTAGTTCATGCATTCATGACCTCGAGACTAGATTACTGTAATGCTTTATTAGCTGGTTGTCCTGCATCTTCAATAAACAAGCTACAGTTAGTCCAAAATGCAGCCGCTAGTTCTTACTAGGTCAAGAAAATATGATCATATAACAACGATTCTATCATCTCTGCACTGGTTACCTATTAAGTTCCGTATCAATTACAAAGTACTACTACTGACCTATAAAGCCCTAAATGGTTTAGCTCCTGTGTATTTAATGGACCTTCTATCGCCCTACAATCCATCGCGTTCTTTAAGATCCCGAAATTCGAGGCTCCTGGTCATTCCTAGGATATCTAAGTCCACTAAAGGAGGGAGGGCGTTCTCACATTTAGCTCCTAAACTCTGGAATAGCCTTCCTGATACTGTTCGTGGCTCAGACTCGCTCTCCCAGTTCAAAACTAGATTAAAGACGCATCTCTTCAGCCAAGCATTCACATAATGCTTACCTTTTATACCACTGTTGAATCAGATTGACTGCATTAATATTATGAACAGCAGCTACGCTAATTATTTCCCTTCTGCTTTTCCGCTGTTATCTCGGGACGCTAGTCCCGAGGTAAATAGCGTTCGTCAGCTCCAGTTGGTATCCAGCCTCTCACGGAGACTTCAGATGCTCCAACACCTGCGATGAGACGACTCGACGCCTGTGAAGAGACGACTCGACGCCTGTGAAGAGACGACTCAACGCCGGCGATATGTTATGCCCTAAATTAATACATGTTGATTAACTAACTATATTCTTCTATGTACATTTCTGAAATGCACTTTCTGTAAAGCTGCTTTGAAACAATATGTATTGTGAAAAGCGCTATACAAATAAATTTGAATTGAATTGAATTGAATTGAAAGTAGAAAATGAGAAAATGGTTCCTTTTTAGTGTTTTTAATTTTGTCCAAAAACGACACAGTTTGATCTCCGGCTGATAAATCAGAGGAAAGGGGC